GATAATCATATCAATGAAGAATTGGATTCACCAGAAGTCCCACTAATAACAAATGAAAAATCTTCCATGCTAGAAAAATACATTGATCATCTTAAAGGAAAGCTCACACCTCAAAAAAGAAATACAGTTTCTAGCATTATTGACAGTTTTAATTCAAAATATTACATGAGTGTTCCTTTAGCACAACATTCTCATAGTAGACTTGCTGTTCAAACAATGGCTTCTATGATTATAGGTAGAATAAACGAAAGCGAAAATGTTTTAGACGGTGGTGCCTCTTTTGTAAATTTAACTCCTTTTGATGGTCAAACTAACTCTTCAGCTAAGAGCCCCACTTTCATCAATGATGATCATATACGAAATATTAAGTTTAACCGATATAAGCTTACAAGTAAAGAAATGGTTAATGCAAATGAAAATGCCCCTGTGATAAAATTTATATTCACCAAAATTTATCAAGACAAAAATGTTACCGATGGTAGATTCCTCCCAGGACATTTTATTGAGTTACAAGCTAAAGTAAATGGTCAAGTAGTAGTTAGAAAATATAATCCTTTGGGAGGTAGAATGTCTAAATCATTTTCAATATATGTCAAGATTTATCAAAATGGTCTTTTGTCTCAGCACTTGGTATTATTTTCTAAAAATTATAAAATGATTCTATTTTTTATATTTTGCTTTTTTTTATTTTTTAACAGTTTCAATGTAAATATTTCAGAACCAGCAACTTGTAGGGTATGAAATTTTAGCCCGTGGACCATTTTCCACTGCAATGTACCCACCTAGATCACCGTCTTTAATTAGTCCTAAATTATCTCCTTCTTTACGTGGAATTGCAAAAACTCCTTTACTAAACCCAAATAATCCTAATGGCTGTTGGAATGAATTGTATATGATTGCTGGTAACTATTTTTTAACACGTGAATTTTTTTAAAAAAAAGTATGATAATTTTTGCTTACGTGCTGTATATCTAGGTGGTTCGGGGATAACGCCCATGTTACAGGTAGCTTAACAAATCTTTTTTTTTTATCATGTAAAATTCATATTGATTTATAATAAATATTCTAATAATGTGATTGATAGTTGATTCTATACCAATTGGAAAAATCATCAAAAGAAACTGATCTAAGTCTTCGTTATAATAATAGAATGCATCTATTATATGGAAATAATACAATAGATGATATTGTTGATTTTAAATTACTTGAAAATTTAGCCATGACAAGTCGTGGACAACTTACAGTAACATATAGCCTTGTATATCCACCTGATGATTGGGAAGGTTTAGAAGGAAGATTAAATTCAGGTGTAATATCAAAATGGTTTCGTATTATAAGAGGTGAAACTCTTATTTCATCATCTCCAAATATACCTCTTGCTTTACAAACATATCATATGAAAACATTATCTCCTAAAATTCAACATCATGATGATGTTACAAGTGAATCAGGGTTAAGAGAAATTGAATCATCAACTGGTAGATTAGTTCCTAATATAAGAAAACTTGTACAAGGCAAGATTGTTGTTTGTGGACCACATGCTATGGTAAATACTGTTGAACAAGTATTACTTGAGATGAGGTATGATGAGAATGATATGATTTTATTAGCTTAGTATAAATATTCAAATTTTACCATTATTAGAATTATAACATCTACAATTTTATGTGCAACTTTTCTTTAACAAAATAATTATTTTTCATTATAAGTGCTTTATATTCATTATATTTATATTAGGCTATTTTTATATTGGATAATCATCAATTTATTTAATTTAATTTGTCTATTTCAATTTTAGCTAGTGTATCTTTAATAAATTTTTACGAATTTAACAGCATCTGTTTGGTACGCACAAAATCACGACGCTCCGGACAATTAAATAATGTAATATTGTATTAATATTAATTATTATATCTATTCAAATCTGTTAATAAATTTCACATTAATTATTTGTTTTAATTTAGCTAATTATTTGATATATTTCGTAGCGTTTTGCATTCACAAAAACAAATAGCCTATTAAAAATATTGGTTGTATCACTTGACAAATTTTTATTTTAATTACATGAGTGATGTCAGAAGAAATAAAACCAGACTTCGATCATATAAAATTTATATTACGATCTAAGGCCGCTTAAAATTGATTAGTTGGCTAACATCATTCCTCCCTCGGCTGGCTGTCCCCACAAAAATTAAACACCAATCACAATACAGGAAAAATCTTCAATAATTATGTGACTAATGCGATTTAAATAAATACTCTGTGGCATATATGTGTTTGTTTAAATTTCCCCTCCCTCCCGCGTCTGAAGCCAAAGATATTGACGTTTAAGTGGCCTAAGCCTGTTTTGTTGTAGTTCTTATTTTTTGAAAAAGTATAAATAAGTTGATGACTAATTGTTTTGAATAATTCAATTTGGTGGATTAACGGATCCACCAAAGTCAAATCACATAGTACATCAAATAAAACTTTGTTAAAACAAATTGATTTGTTTAAACACGATATATTAGGGTCAAAATTGGTTTTCTTACAGTATTTGGAGTTTTCATCTTTTTGTTGCTTTAAGTTTCAAAGTCACCACGGTCTAACTCAAACTAAATGATCGTGTAATTTATGACATTATGTTTCCAAAGGCTTTTTAGGCAAACTGTATATGGCGAACTACGGGAAACATCTTTTTAATTGGCGTATAGAAGCCAGTTACATAGTTAAAATTTCGAGCAAATTTACTGATCAAAACCTATGACATATAATCTGGGACACGGAAATTATGTGATTTAGTGTGATCAAACTAAATCACACTAAAATCATATAATTTTACTTCACTTATATTACGTTTCAATTTAGTACTAAAAAAAATTGTTAGCGTT